TCGGGGTCCCCAAAACCACCCACGAGGCAGCCTCACTCACACCTGGTAGTACAGACTTAGGGACTGGGGGAGTTTGGTACCTACAGGATGAGGCAGCAGCTACATCACGGTTATGAAGACATGATAGCACCTCAAATGTGAGCTCGGTGGTCAGAGAAGGATTCTGGCATCCTCTGCTAAAAGAACAACCAGGGGTCTCTCACGCAGTGAATGAATCAAGAACCAGAAGGCTGGAAAAATGAATCTATCATTCTGTGACTTACAGCATCTAAGGAGCTGAAAGCAATTGGAGTTCCTGCTTGTCTTCTGTCATAGCCAAACATAAATTGATTGGGATTTGGTGATGTGCGGTCTGGGGAAAAGCAACGTGTCTCGCGCAAGAGGGCAGGCAGTAGAGAGCACATGGCTCAAACGCTGAATGAATGGCAGGAAAATATGCCCTCCCTATACTTCATAAAATGGATTGTGAACAGATAGCAGTAAATCAAAGATATCCACCCCCTCACCTCCACCCCAGCAGAAATACTTCCGTGGAAACACTGCTAGAAACCCCAGCACATTCAGGCTAAAAAAAGCAGAAAAACCAAAACATCCAAAGTTGCCTAGAAATTTGTGAAATCTGATTTAAACAACTTCAAGCTGACACAGGTTTCCCAGCTTTTCATGACCAAGCTTTGCTTTGGAGCTAGTCACAAATGATAACATTAGGCAAAGGTATGGGATCTACAGGGTCAGATCCCAGTGAGTTAAAAAAAAAAAAACCACAACTGTTGGCAAAGTCCCCAGGTTGTGATCCCAAATACCAGCAACCATGAAATACTGGACAAGAAACCAATACAGAGAGGGAAAAAGAACAAGAAATTGCCTGCTTATATGTGTAAGAACGCTTTCTGCTTTAGATGTGAGTTTTCTCAACTCACCACAGCAAATGCTGCGTACGGTCACATTTGTGAAGTTTTGCTGGAGACTAATTTTGTAACAGCGAAAATATAAGCATGCAATAATTGTTTGGAGCCCTCCAAAGCTGGTACATCAAGCCAAAGGGCAGTATCGACTGCTTCATGTGTCCAATCTCCTCATTCCTTATTCCCCAACTACTTTTCTTCACTCCTATCCAGCTCAGCCCTTGCACCAACGCTTCAGAAATCTTCTTGACAAACATAATTCTTGTTGCTTTCCATCCAAAGACACGGCAAAGCCGCCTGAAAGTGGGCCAAATAAGGGGAAGGATGCCTACATCTAACCCAAGGCTGTTACTACCACCAGGAAAAAGAGCTGTAAGCCAGTGAGAGTGGGGCGAGCAGGAGACACTGGCAGCTGGAAGGAGCCAGAGAAAAGGAAGTGGGATAGACAGAAAAAGAAACACTCACTGGCTGGAAAGAGCTTGGGAAGGCGGGGGGAGGAGTACCCAGGTGCCAAAATATGCAGCCGTAACCCCATGTATGAAAATCTACTTTTTTAGCACAATAAGAATATACAGATGTTTACATGCACACAAATACACTGCATTTCAAATAAACTATTTCCAAGTAAGATTTTTTTAACTTCACGTTTCAGCAAATAATCATCCTCTATCCACAGACCAAAATTACCTTTCGATGATTATAAAATAGGAGTCACATGTACCTTTCTTAGCCAAGAAAGCATTACCTTCTTCTCAAGGTAACTCTCCTCATTAATTGACTAGTCTACTTTTTTCATTAATTGTGTCCTGATGAAGCAATCAAATAAATGGAGCAGTCAGAAAAGAACGGACACTTCTAGGGGAAGGCTTGGTTTTAGGAAGGTCAGTGCTAGAGCAGGTGGTTTCACTTTATGATCTTGGCATACATGCCCAGGCTGCCTCAAATGACACTACTGAAACTTTTCAATCTGTGGCTGCTCTGATATAAAGAGCAAAATCAAACTGTACTAACAGCTCTACATGGAGTTTCCCGCTTCCTTCTAAATGCATGTAAGGGTAAGAAGGGACAAGGGCCAGGGCAAGACAGGCGGAATAGGACCTCCTATTTGCTTTCTATTTTGTAGAGAGAATAGCCAGAGCTTGGCTCCTAATTATAACCCCCAGGGTAGCCTGTGTAGCCCCACAAGGACGATTTTATCACATCCCTCCCACCTAGTTCATCACACAGCTGAACTATTTGCATCCAGAGGACACTAAGGCAAAAAAAAAAAAATAAGAAGCAAAATCATTTAGGCCCCAAAGTGATCACACATGAGAAATGTAAAGCCCTATATTGCATTGTGAAATTCAGATGCCTACAGCACTCATAATGAGCACAGATGTACTACTAAGCTGAGCCTCAGAAGCCTTCTTCTAAGCTCTGGTGGCTTAGGATGCATAGGTAACCAACAAGTGTCTTCACAGGGGCTCAACACACACCACAGGTATTGTGACCTTCTCTAGCACACACTCACAGCCCACAGCCACTGTCATTCAGATGACATTTAGTGCTGGTGGTTCCCCTCCTTCATATAATACCATACGTCCACAGAGCATTTGGTAAGATCAACTACTATGTGCTAAGCCTAACCCAACTTTCAAATCATTCGAACTCCCACCTCTACCTCCCCAGAGGGTGACTTAACCCCAGAACAAGACACAAACAGTAGACATTTTTCTCCCAGCCTGCCAATGGACATCTCTATAGTGGAAAAATATGATTCTTTGAGCGTGACCTGTAGCTCTTGAAATTTTGAAAGAAAAGCCCCAGATTCTTCAGTCATTTCTGGTTTTGAACTGACAACTGTTTGGTGTAAAACATAAATGGGAAGCCCTCATTTCCAGCTAAATTTCCAACCCTGATGATGTAACCCTACTTGAAAGTGGCAGATGCATGTTTGGAGCCAAATCAAAACTCCACAAAATTCATTGTAATTGTCTCAAAATAGTCAATTTGTGCCTCAGTCTTCTTGAGTTATACCATACCCAACCTGCATGTTCTGAAATCTGAACAAAATGATCAAAGCTGCACAAGAAATACAGGGACTCAGGAAAATAAAGAAATCACAAAGTTGATTTTTTTTCTTAGAAATATATTTTGTAAGAAAACAATATTAACATTAAAAAGAAATGTTTACTATACAGTATAAAATAATGGCTTGAATTCAACTCAGTTCCTTATAAAAAAAAAAAGCCTGAGGATTTGTATGAAGCCTCAATTCCTACAGACTTGAGTCTTCTGCCTTCTGTGATTCCTACCGCATTGAAGAGCAGGTTTTTCCCCACATCATCCTTAGAGCACACAAACACTCCTAAAATGTCCCTCATCCCTTCCCCAACAAGTTGCTGTTCCCTGCCCAGATGTGCTCTAAACATCACCCATTGTATTTGCAGCTCTCTCCCATGTCCCCCATACCCACCCTCAGATTCCATCCACCTACCTCTTTTGGCCAAGCAACTATACAAGCGACAACACATGTTCCAGCTAGCTAGGAGTCTCCCCACATTATTTTGTTGGCTAATATGAACAGTGGCCAGCCACTGACAAATAATGTATAATGGCTGAGTTGTTCTCAGCTGCCTGTTCTCATAAACCCTGTAAGAATCTCTCTTAACTCTGCCATTCAACTGCCAAATCTGGCAGAAGTGTGCAGAGTTTTAAAAGCTAGAAGGGGAGACGAGGACAGGCAATGCAATGACATAAGCTTCACTTTTTCAGGAAACTAAGCTAAAAAAGTCATTACTCAATTGCAGAATTTACAACTTGCAGATTTTGTTGTAGGAAAATATGCCTGTTCAGTAGCTATAAATACCCCTAATACACTTCCGTGGCTTATCATGGTTTGGGTTTTTTTTTTTTAAGGTAATGCCAGCTTTGTAATGTCAATTACCCTCCAGGTTTGAAAGGCACCCAGTGACCAACATTCTGGTGTAATTATTCATGACATTGGTGTGATTCCCCCCCCCAATAATACTGACAAGTTTAACAGAAATCTATTAAGTTAAAAAGAACAAAGATATATATTACATTTGCTAATTGCAAACAACCTCTTTTAGCTGCAATTTTTCCCATTGGGATTAAAAAGTGCACCAGTTTAACATGTCTGTACATTAAGAACAGTTTAAAACATTAAATATACAAACAGCAAGAGATTTTAAATATTTTGTATCAAATACTATAGGACAATATAATTTACATTTTTTTTTAACACAAAACATTACACCTGAAATATAACTTTAGATATTACAGAATATAAAAATACATACTTTTTGTCTAAAAAATGTCTTTGCAGGTTCTGGCACAATGTAATATTTTAAAGGCACACCGTATTTTGGCAGTCTATATTTGCAATTAACTGTGCAACAATAATAAAAATGATCTGTAATTAACCTTTTAGAACTGCAAGGCCAGATGATCTCCCTTCTTCCTGGAATAGCCCTTTTAATCAGGTAAAAACTTAAATTGAACCGTTTAGGTGTTCTGCAACTCATTTCTGCCATGGACTGAGCTCTCCAACACTAATCCAGCAAAACAAGAACAGGCTTAACTAAGCATGTGAAAAGCCACATCAAATGCAATGGGATTAGTCATACTTTCACAATCTTTGCCGTCTCAAGGTCAGAACGCTCAAGCCCAAGCAAAATTGAGCCCTAAATGCAAGTTGGGAGCCAAGTTCTGTCCTGCCCTGTGTTCACGCCAAAACTAGTAAGAGTAGCATAGGTTAAAAAGTCAGGGCAGAACTTGGAAACAGAAGTTGAATAATATTAATTGCTCTGATTTCAACTACAACAATGTAAAAGTCATAATGACTCTACTGAAGCCAGTGGAGACATATGAAGTAAAACTGCTATAAGGCTGAATCAGGAGAACTATGTAATTTTGCCCTTCTGTGCACTTGTGGGACTCCCACTGGAGTCAGCACAGGGCAAAAACGTGTCTTTAGAGATATATGGCTTATACAGATGCAATGGGATTGCAAAAGATTTTCAGTTCTGTGTTCAAGTTGTTTTGGGACCACTAAAAACCCAAAAAATTTTCAGCACACTAATGAAAGATTCAGTCTAAATCCCTTACTTTAAATGCCCCAAAATAAGTTGCTTCTTGTGATGAATCCAGTAGCAATGGGTTTGATACCTGGATACTTATCATTTCACCAGATTTTAATTTAAAAAACCCTCCTACATTGACAGAATAAAAATGAAATTCTGAATTCCCTGACCAGTATTTGGTGCTTCCTCCCTTCATCAACACATCAGAGCGCCTTATTTTAAGGTTTGTCTTAGTCATATACACCATCAGTTGAAGCCCTCTTTTAGTCAGGTTTCCTGAAGTTTCATGATGTCTGAAACAAATGTTGGCATAAAGGTAGTAAAATCCATCTTGATTAACAATTAGCTTTCCATCACTGAATGTCATATTTGATAAGTTTGCCTGGCCTTTGTCATGATGCCAGGATGTGAGGTTCACTTTGCGAGTTCCTGAAGAGAGGGGAGAAAAAAATAATTATTTATAAACATTGAACAAAACTCAACATTTAGAAAGCAATCCCCGGGTTTTTAGAATCAATAGCAACTACAGCTATATAGGCTAAAGTGAATATTAGACAATTATGATAAAAATTCATAAGAAATTTCCTTTTCTCATCATGTACTGCCATATTTTGCTTGCTATTTATAACTGTCTGCCCTCCACCAGAACAGCTGGTGGACCATGGTACAAAACATTTACTTGGCCAATAGTTTGATTATGCTAAGCAAACATGCAACAAGCTCTGTATAGAAATAGCATTCCACCTAAAACTCTATTAAAGTAACAAATACTTGAGAGGAATTTGAAAAGAAAAGTTACTAATCAACAAATCTTGTTATCAGTTTTTAACCTGTAAGTGTTTGCAAGGAATAACTAAACAAAATCTGAAAACAAGTTAAACTGCTAATTGCCCAAAGAGAAAGCTTATGAAACCTTCCCATATTTTATGTCCTTGTGGCTGTAGTGGTACAAAGTTAAACATTTTCATTTGAGAACACAAAAAAAATGGGGAAAAAAAATCAATACAATTGTGCATCTTTAGTACTACACAGTAAGTTGCCTAGACTTTAGATAGCACTTCAAGTATTTATGACATAACAAATCTTTTTATGCAAAAACAATGTTTAGACTTAACCCAGTGCTTGTATATACCAGAATAAGGCTCCACAATCTGGTTTACTCATATCCTAGATATCTAGGATAGTGGCCCACAGCACCATCCTAATTCTTTGATAATTGTACAAATACTTATAGCTGGGCAATTATAGGTATTCAGAAGGTAAACTCAGTTTCTTTGTCTAATAACTAGTGGAAGGTCTTGGAAAAAGAGCTTTAGGAAAACAGATGTGATTCTGGATGCATTGCTTTTTTCTTTTCTTATTTTTATTTATTTTAAAGTATCTTAAGTTTCAAACTAGAAACAATGAGCTTGCTTGGAGAACAGTCCCCTTCAAGTTGTCTTAAGCTGGAGATCCACAAATTAGGAAAGAAAATTATGATTATATTCTCTGTCTCTCCATAGAACATCATGCATGTAGGAATCAAAGTACACATATAGCAGTTACCAAGTCTGACTACAAAAAAGGACAGATTAATAGAATTAACATATGTAAACAAGCATTATTGAATTCCTTCTAACAAGTACACGTAAGCCTTTTCAGCTCTGCCTACGTGATGGTAAACAGGAAGCTGTCCCTTATCTGTTAAGGTAACTGAATGCTCTGTGAAGAGAATGAAAAGGAGCTGAGAGAGTGGAGATATTTTGATTAGTTTGTCAGCTTAGCACTGTTACTGAAAGCTAACTTCACATATACATGTACAAATGTCCCCAGGAACTCTGGCCTGAAAGGTACCTCCTGGGTGCTGTCATCACGCATCCACATTGTACCATCGCTTGGAGGTTTCAAGCTGGTCAAATCTCAGATGTCGTTTCATGTAGATCCTGGACATTAGGAATACGTTCTTTGGACATTAGGAAAAGGTTCTTCACTGAGAGGGTGGTCAATCACTGGAACAGGCTCCCCAGGCAAGCGGACACGGCACCACGCCTGTCAGAGTTCAAGTAGCATCTGGACAATGCTCTTAGTCATATGGTTTAGTTTTAGGTAGTCCTGCGAGGAGCAAGGAGTTGGACTTGATGATCCTTACAGGTCCTTTCCAACTCAAGATATTCTTGATTCTACTATTGAGGCTGTGCTAAGAGATGGCCTGGCAGGAGGTCAGATAGGCACTGAGAGAGAGCATTTGAGTCTTCCTTCCAAACCTGGTCACATTTGACACTTCAGTTTGTTTTTGGTGGCACAGCGTTAAAAAGCAGCCTGAAACACCAGCCCAGATAGCATTGCTACTGCAGCTCATGTATTTTGTAGAGGCTTATCACAGTATTTTCTGTTGAGGAGCATGCCCTGCAGCACACATCCCTCAGTCCCTTCCACCTCTCCAGCTTCACCACCATCCCCATTATAGCACCCACCTCATCTCACGGCCTCTGCCTGCAAAAACAGAGGAATAGGCAACAGTGGGAGGAGAAGATCCAGCCAAGGCCCACGGGCATGCCCCCAGAGGAAACAGCACTGTCCTGAGAAAGCCACACAGGCCCTGACCCTTCCTGATATGCACAAGCCACTACCATTTGTTCAGTGTAATACGCAGGATATAACACAACAGATGAGAGTTATCCAACGTCCTCCTAATCACTAGCAATTTTCAGCACACAAGACTAACTCCATTTGCTCCCTCTGAGGCACCCACAGCACTGGGTCCACCCACACAGGCACCAGAAGTCCTTACACCTTAGGCTCCCAGTGCATCTAAATGCCTGCTTGGAATATTCAGTACCTTATTCTCCTGACATCAAACCAAACCCATCTATTCCCACCAAGATTTCCACGACATATGGCAGGGCCCAGTGCCCTCTCTTCCAAGCATGTATCAAGGCATGCCCCAGAACCATGAGCGCTCACAAGCATGCTGGGGGAAAGCCCCAAGTGTATTTGATTACTTAAAAAGATGCCTCCTGGATTTGTTTGTGCAGAAAGACATGAGGGGAAGTAGGGACAGATGAATTTGAGAGCTATGAGTCTTCCCTAACTGCCAAGGGCAAGCAACTTCTGCATGTGAGAGGAGTACTTTAACAGTAGTCCAGAACAAAAAACTTCTGGCGTTCTTCCACAAAGACTTGAGCAAAGCACAGGCTGTCAAAGGCAGATCATAAATAGTTGCTCCCCTACGGCTCCAGTACAACCAGGTAGAAATTAAACAAGCAAAATCATACAGAGAAGCCATCTTCTGTGCAGTGCCTCAAAAAAACCTTCTGAAAACCATCAATTAATTGGAAGTGACACTAAGATCTTAAGTCTCTCAGCCTGGAATTATTCACCTGCAAGCACTGGGGATAGCTGAGGAAGTTGTAGAACTTCTTGTGCACAACGTTAAGTCTGCCAGAAATACTGCCCCCCCCCCAAGGAGATTGGGCCACCTTCACAATGAGGAGGATAGGCAAATCACTGCTTGGATCGAAGGAGAGGCACATCAGAGATACAGGACAGGAATGTATGCATATGATGGAACAGAAAGGCATGCTGGCATGCTGTGACTGACTGGTGGCACACTGGGTAGTTGCTAGGCAGATTTTATTTACCTGGCAAGTAAACTTTTTAGTTGCCAGTCTTAATCAAGTAGCAATTTTGAAGAAATGCTTAGTGGGAATGCATGATTCTCTGCTGAAGGAGGGGGAAGAGAGAAAATAGGTGCCACAGTCACTTGTAAGTGAGATACTGAGAGGGGCTCTGGGTAAAGTTTGTTCACGCTGTTTTGGTGTTGAGGGGAATATGTGTCATTCATCCATGGTTAGGTGGAGGGACAGGCCAAGAGATGATGGAAGATGACCATATCTGTTTTGAGCAGGGGATTAGCCTAGATAACTTCTGGAAGTCCCTTCCAACCTAAATTATAATGCTACAATTGTATTAACTGAGGCGGATGGGCATTTTGCCACAATTCAGATCTTCAGAAGAGGCATGCCGTAGCCAGCAGCACAGCACAAAGTTGCATTGGTAGGAGTTATGCCATGCAACCTTTAATGGAAGGAGCGAGCAGGCTCTCAGCACTTCTGGTGGTAATACACCCCAATTTGGAGACACCAAAACAATCAGTACCCAAAACACAGGCAGAGGAGAAAACTGGAGCATACAAGTGCCAAATCAGCTGTCCATATATCAGAAATTCTGAAACAGAACCCAAGCCATGGGACAGTCAGAAGTGCTGCAATACAGTATCTTGTGATAAAATTTACATAGCACAAGGTAAGTCATGTTGACAGAGAAGGAAGAGGTCAGAAAGATAATGAGTAAGATAACCTCCCAGACATGGTAAAAAGCATTTAAAAAAAAGTCAAGATAATACACAGTTTTTCTGTTAACTGAAGACAAATCAAAACAATGTCTTGGGTATTTGTGAGCATGAACTAAGACTAATAGAAATGAGTTTCAATAAAATTAATTAGTAAGAAGGAAGATGATGGGAGGGGAACAGAGGAGAAAGTAGCCCCCTGTATTGATACTTTGTTTGCATCCTAGTAGCTTTCCAGTATAAATAAAGCCTGAGGGAAGAACCAAAGCACTGTCTGCTCTGAAAAACTGTTTTGGAGGCAAAGGGCAGCTAAGCCGAACCTGTACCTGTAAATAGCTTGGAATACTACACCATTTCTTTAGACAGCTAAAGGTATCCAGTCACATCCCAAATGATATATTTAACATTTACATTTATTTGTTTGTGATTTTCTCCTTTAAACTGTGACTAATTTCTGTAATCAGTTTATAAACCAAAACTCTCTGTTTTCATTTAAAACCTACGTAGCATTTATAGTGAGCTCTGATAAAAAGCAACCAGCAAGCATCCAGCTTTAACCTAAGGCAGCAAACCTAGAAAATACACATAGCAAACCAAACCACTATGGCTTCTGCAGCCAAATGATGGGTGGGGACACCAAGACCTGGGAAGGGTTATTTTCCCCCCTTCCTCGCACTCCCTGCAGCTGCAAAAGTCCATTTGGGGCTTGGTATTATTGTGAACCAGGTAAAAGGAAAATGTTCCCTCACAGACACTGCTCAGTGCCCCTTCATGAAGGATATTCAGTGGCAAACTACTTAAAATAAAATCCTGTTTGACAGTGATGAAGACTGATTTTTTTTTTTCCTGACATTATTTATTGTGGATCAGAGTGATGACAGTAGAGAACTTTAAAATACTAAGAACAGATCTGTCCAGACTCACGGATGGCATAAAACAATTTAGAAGGATTTCAGACGTGTACGGTAAGGAAGCAGGGGAAGAAAACAGAAATTGCCATTTGCAGTCAGAGGAAACAGGATGGGAGAGAAAAACTCCTTGTGACCCTCAGGCAAATTCTTCATGCTTTATGCCTGTCACTAACCTCTATGCCATCCAGCCAAGTGGGTACTGCCTCATACCAGTGAGCATGATACTCAAGTGCCTCACAACCAGTAGGTTCAGGGTTCCAGCTATCCGTAAGGATGCAGCCCCTCACTGCTGCAATGCCCACAAGGACCGCAGAAGCTGTGCTCATGATTAACATCCTGGCAATGCTCTTCCAGAAGAGGCAGAAGCCATATGAGCCAGATCAGGAGGCAGTAGGTCCAACTCATCACATTGGTAACGGGTTGATCTGCTCCAAGGAGAAACAAAGCAGCTTGTTGTCACAGGCACTGTATTTCTGAGAGTTCCTGCAGCCTGTGCTATTAAAAAAAAAGTGAAGAGAGCAAACAAGAGCAATGCCTCCCTTGCCATTACCCACAGATGTGCTACATCACTCCCTAGAAGGTTAATGCAGTGTTGCACAACAGTAAAAATTATCAGCTGCTAGCCCTGACAAAAATACAGTTTACAGCAACATCCAGCTAGACAGCAAATACATTCCCTACAGGAAAGGTGGATTTCACAAAGTATGACACTGACACACTCCACTTCTGTAGATATAAGTGATCTGTCTCTATGACTAGCAAATTAATTGAATCCTTCCAAAGACAAAATGCTAAGACAAGTTTACTGATACTGCATCTGCTACTATTGACCTATGTCAAAAGCCAAAATCTGACTGAAATAGAAGCTTGTCAGGAGGCATTTGAGCTAATAAGAAAGCTTGTAGAAGTTCTGACTGCCATCTGACAAGCTGCTTATGCTCTCTGCTTATAAAGCTCTGGAGCTTGGCAATGCCAATGCACTTGAAGCGAGAAAGAATCCTATCCCTCCAGGCAAGATGCTAACTCCTTGTGTACAGAAGTGCTTTGTCTTTAAACAGAGCAAGAGCAAGGTATGCAGGCTGCTGAAATCTCAGATTTCAAGCCTCAACACAGCATTCCCCTTTGGTTTGGTTATAGAAAACAGAAAAGCAATGCACATAGCTTAATTAACACGGAGTTCAGCACTGCAAAATGTATACATCTTCAGTGGTGATTAATGCCCCCTTCTATCTCGAGATCCTCTGTCTGATAGCTTCAGAATAAACTCTGGTTTACTTCTACCACACCAATGCTGATTGTTGTGTTGAGAATACAAAGAGAAAAATCTCAACTGACAGTGCCCCAGAGCAAAAAAGGAAACAGTACTAGAATATCTTAAAATTGTAGGAATGAATCTTTTCCTCTGGAGAGTGTTCCAAGGCAGACTCATGTCTTGTTCCCTCATGTTGTACTAGTGAGGATATTCCCAAAGCCATCCAAAGATACCTGTGGGTAGAGAATAAGAGCTCTGGCAAGATAAAAGAATGCCATCCTCTTACCATAGGGGCAGATAAAAGCCACAGGAACATTTTTTCCCCCTATTTAATAGCTCAGAAACATACTGCACCCAAGTCAACACACTGACCAGAAACCCAGTTGCTCAGAGTACAATGCTACGATCTTTGGTCTTCCTGCTACTGGACTAGATGGATGCAGACAGACCCTTGTGAAGCTTTGGCATGTCTGAACATCAGGAAGGCCCCGGGAGTCTTGATGTGAAAAAGTTTAGACCAGCCCTGCAACATAATTATGAATGGAATATGACAAAACCTTTTCAACATGCCATATAATTCAGCCGTGTGCTATGAGAGTGCAACGTACCCACAGAGGGCAGGGAACTAGCAGGCAAGTTGTAATAATGACATTGGGATTGCAGTTCTAGGTTTTCAACACCTCAAAATGAAAGATGTGCTTCCTTTATGGCAAGTTCTTACACTGATGGGCACCTGACGTGCATGTGTGTTGTGTATTCATGTAAGATTCTCAGCTTTCAGATCCACTTGGAAGACAAATGCTGGGTCACCCAGTACAGACCTGATTACACTTCAGCATACAAAAGGAGTGTTGCTGTGAAGGGCTGAATAGGTGGATATAAGACATTCTTGAATTTTACAACAGAAAACAACACATTTCTTCATCTGACAACAGGACAAAAAAATCTTAGACTCAAAGGAAGCGGAACATCTTCCAACCTGCAAGATCTGGATTCTGGCCAATTTTTGTGCTGGTATATCTTTGTATGTATGTATGCATACATCTGTGTGTATGTATACCCATAGCTGACGTCCAGTGAGTGAAGAATTCCAGATGAGCCCTACTAGCTAAAGAAAATAAGAAACTTCAGAGGAGAGTATTCAATGCATATCTTCATTCCTCACCTGAAGACAGCACAAAGAGGCAGGCCAAGCCCTCAGAGCTTGATCATGAAAACTGGTCATTTGAAATGGAGGCCATTCAGCACATAACACACTGATGTAAGATAGGTGAGGCAAAGGGGAGCTATCCTCCTGTTAACACTACCTCTGCTGCCTCTGAAATCCTTTAACGCATCCAATTTCTTCTCATTATCAAAAGCCATTTCTGAAATCCCAGTCTGTTGCTGGTATTGCTGAACTATTTTCATATACTTCACTGTTTATACATTTATAGTAGCATTGGATGTATTCACTTAAAACTGAACTTACCAGATGGAATATTCTTATCATCAATAATGAGATGGGCAAAAGGCTGCTTCTCAGGTTTGCTTCTCTTGTACAGATCCATTCCTAATGCCTCCATTGCAGCTAGAGATAAAAGAATTGCATTACCTCAGAAAGACAAGTTTAGGAGAACTAAAATATTTCTTATTCATAAATCGGCACCTACCTTTTTCTGGTCTTGGTGGTGCTCTTCCCATGACATGCTGGACTTCCTAAAATGAGAAAGAGCCATTGCTTTGATGTTGTCTTGGTTTTGTAATACTGTGTATTGCAGGTAGTTTGCACAATTACAACACTCTGTGTGTACGTATATGTGGGGGTTGTTCTACCTACAGTATATTCAAATGCCTGGGATACATATTCTCATATTTACATGATGTATAATATGAACACACAGTTTAGCTGCCACAATCAAATTACTTCCTCTGTCCAATACATCTGATAAAGGCGGATAGGAATGATGTATCGGTGTGTATGATCACTGCACTATTTATTGAAGTAGTGGCAACAGGACATTTACAACCCTTCCTACTGCATTTGGAATATTTCTCTAAGTATAATGGAACAATGACTGCTAAGAATGCATCACATAAAACAATGGAGTTTATGAACTGATTTAACTACTTGGGGTCAAAAGGTAATGAAAGAGGCAGTTCTACATAGGGACTGGAGTGTAATCACACTAACAACTAAGGAAAGCTAAGCTCTGCATTTTATTTGTGATGAGGTAAATGAAAACCTCCACCCCTCACACTTGACTACTAATAGGGAAGGTTGCAAGACTACAAGGCTTTATAATCAAGGCTCACTTCTAACAAGGTATGCAGGAACTGAAGGATTAAGTATCTTCCATATCTGTACTGGGCCAAGTGGACTGGGTGCCAGAGTTTGGAAGTATGCATTCTTCAAAACTGCAGATGAATTTTAACATGAATGAAACCCATGTTAGCAAAAACCAAGAACAGCACAAGTAACAGACATCAGGCACCACAAAAAGCCTTGCTTTTAATAATCCACACCTGTTTTCCTCTTGAGAAAACATACAAACAGCAGTTTTCAAAAATCTAAACAGCCTATTCTTGTTACAAGGCTGGACCATGTCCTGCTAATATTAGGTTCAATCCTCAGTTCTGTCCCCTGTTCCCCCATGACTCTCTTCATCTCTGTTTTCTAAAAAACAGGGGTAATATTCTACTTACTATTCAGAATACCTCATACTATGGAGCCATCAAGAAGATGTTTAGTAAAAGGAAACATTTTGCTGAATATAGCAAATCATATCTCATCTTTGAAACCTAAAAGTGGTCCTTTGTTTTGTCTTTATGTGACACATACTGCTGTTCGACTGATTCAATACCCTGTATATGCAATACACCTCACATTTGGCCAGATCAGCAATGTTCCACTGTGCTCTCAATCACTGCGGTGTTTTAGAATTTGAAATCCTGCTCTGAAAACACCTAAGGTCCTGCTTTTATGTAATTTTGCAGCCACAGTGAAATCTGTAACGCCTTAGCCAGTGCACTTGTGCACTTGTTACTCTCACTTTCCCCTTTCAGTAGGTGCTTAAATGTTAAACCAAAATGAAAAGCCACAGCAGTATGGAAGTTGTAGTATGACTATCAAAGCATTACACTTCAGCAGAGATATGCTGATTTTGTAGATAAGAATCATTAAAATGCTTTCTGCTGTAGAGACGAGAAGAAAAGCAGAATTGCAACTTCAAAAGAAGCAAAACTCATGTCCACCTCCCCCATTTACATTCACTTCCCCTCTCTGATCTTCCTACTTCAATGTCAATTCTAGGAGCATGAAAATGAAGCTCAATTCTAGGAGCTGCACACCAGCATCAGCCTCTAGCCATACTTGAGCTCTTTTAACTTCCTCAGAAGTAGGAAGACAACAAAAAATCGCAAGTACTAGATACTGCGAAAAGCGGCAAAAGCCTCTGAAGAGAGCAGGACTAAGGTAAAAGAGACTGGGAGATAGACTACATTCTCAGACATTACTGCACCACACGTACTTCCAATCCTTTCCCTAGAAAGGGGGGACTGCTTTGTTTTCTTGCCTTCTTAATGGAACTTCTCAGATGTCGAGTCTGCTTTCGTATCCTTTCGTTCTGGGGGATGTGATAATCCTGGAGAGGCTACTGGGCAGATCCAAAAAGAGCTATGTACATTTTAATCTCCTATTATCTAAACTGATACTAAAAAAAAAACCCATGGTTGGTAACTGCATAGCCGTTGAAGTCCCTGAACTGGCCAACTGCCATCCTCCTTTTAACCTACATTTTTCTTGGGAGTATAGAGTTCTGCTTCTGCATATTTCCAAAGAAGCTCTAGCTTGAGCAGCTGGGTACCTCACCTTCTGAGATCTAGCAGCCTGACTCAGCTCATCTTCCATGCGGAAAGGCTGTGATCCTCATGAAATGCAGTCTGAGCTGCTTTCTTTCTAACTGTTGGTGGTACTGTTCATCTGCAACATCACCACTTGGTAAGCAGAACAGCTACCCAGGAAGACTTGGGTCCACAACTCTCCTTGTCCTGACAGTCTTGAGCCTACTTTCCTGTTTCCTAGGAGCATCCCTCTCTGACACGAACACTCTCCTGTACTCCTCTTGAAGCTATGCTACTATGCAATTAGGAATGCAAGTGTCATTACAACAAAAGGGAGATTATAAGCGTGAGCCCAACACTAACACACTGAGAAGAGCTGGAGACCGGCTCATATTCATTGACTCTTCTGTGTGCTTGTCATTGGATTAGAAGTGGCTAGCCCATGGCCAGAAAACAGAAATCCTCCATCAGCCGAGTACTCTCTAATGTCTAGTTCTTTACTTGATTCTGACCAGTCCCACAAAATTTTGACATTCCTTTGTGTTCTGTTGCCCAGACTTCCAAAAGAAAGCTGAAATACATGAACTAGTCCCTAGGTAACAGAGATGGAGCTGTGGGTTCCCTCCTGAAGAATAAGTAGTTCAACACTTCTCTTGATTTTTTTTTTTTTTTACTTCAAGTTTCTACAGTTCCAAGGTGCTGATACACAACCTACCTTACAAAAGCATTTTAGCATGTACTTGCTTCTGACCCTGAAGGACTCAAGGACCACATTGTTCAGTGGATGTCTGAAGGTATCCAGATGTCTAAAGATGGCCTCTTAGTGGGAATATAAAAATCCCCTGGTATCGTTACTGCTTTCATATCCTTACTGCAAGGAATTAAGAGTTAGGATTTTCCAAATCTTTAAAGTATCAACTGCATTCTTTGGCACCTTAATGTCTTTAAGCATCTTATACCTAATCACGATGTACACCACCATTAAGAAAGCAGAAAAAGCTCAGCAGAACCTGTCACTAAGGCACTGCTATAATGGCATGAGAACTGCTGACAAAATACTACCCATGACTTCCCTTAAGACTGCCACCCACAGAACCATGTGCGTTACCAAGCTGTTATTTTTAGAAAAACTGTACACAAAAAAATCACACCACTCTTAGTCTTTCGATAGGCTGCACTTGTACATCTTTGCGTCACTTGCTCACTGCTCACCAAGTCAACTCTACTGGACTGCTTCCCACATTCCAATCTCCTTCATACAGTCACTGTTTAAACAACAGTCAAGCAGCCAGTCACAAAAATGAAAAATGTGTCTTCCTTCGTCCAAAAACGTTAAGAGGCCATTGGGAAGCTGCAAAACTTCCACATTTTAAAAGCTAAAGTCATGCTTTAAGTGCCTGGAAATCTGGGAACTGCTCTTTCCTTATCCACAGCAGGCTGCAGGTTTTAACCCTTAGCATCGCAGCATCTTTAAGACAAAAACAACTCTTGCTCTTCAAGTTATGTCCAATGTTGAGGATGCAGAGACAGGCTACATTTGAACATGTGACATTTATGAATGGGTTTTCCTCTCCTTTGGCTTTTACAATATCTCAGTATCAACTCTGAGCAGCTGCAAGTAGCCTTTCGAGACCAATCAGAAGAGAAGCCCTCTGGACATTCAATATGTATTGCTTCAGCTGTGATCTTAAAGCTCCTTTATGTAGTTGTTTCTTCTACTGTCTGAGTGCTTTCAGTCCAGCTAATACCAGGAAGAAGTATCTGATTATCTTGCCAGAAATTCAACAATTTGAAGAATGCTAATCAGGAAGGAAGTGAAATAGAAAATACATGAACCAATATTCATCAGAAGATAGTTTAGAGATCAGCACTACAACCTCTATCCAAATGAGTAGTCTATTGCCTGCAGAAAAAAAAAAGGCATGTAAGGTTGTAGGATGGAAACTGTGAAATTTTAACAACTTAGAGCAATCACTCATCAAACCTTGACTTTGTCCATAACTATGTGCACTTTAAATGTCTGCTAAGTATACAGATCTTTTTGTAAGTGCTGTCCTGGAGGTCTAGCAAAATACTCTGTTGCCATGTGGGAGACTAGTTTACGCCTGAACTCCCCAAGCTGCTAGAAGCTGGGAGTATTGCCAAGAAAAGTTACTTATGAATTGACCCAAGATATGTTTGTAGTCCTTTCTACTTCAGGCTCATAACAGACTTCATAAGAATTGTGGTTAGTGCATCTGGACTGCCAAAAGGTTTTTAGGGTTACATGCAAAAAAAATTAAGCAAACAGACAGGCTAGGAAAGTATATTATTTGTCTGCTTGAAAGTTTATATGCAATATTGAAAATGTGCTTTCTACTGAGTAAGCTGCTCCCTAAGCAGTATTTTTATCCTGGAGTATGTTAAGGAATTCACCATTCGATTTTGATTAAAAGAAAATCTTTAATTATTATTTTTTCAGGAGACAAATGTTTCTAGACCTAACCTTGCAGCCCTACTACACCGGTTTTCACAAGAGCACTTTCATTTTCAACACCAATCCCTGCTTTAGATTTAAGCACTAGGTCTACAGGTGTGCAAAGAAAACAGATGAGAACCAGTGCAGTAAGCTAAAAGCTGTAACCAGACCATAAACCTGAGCAAAAAGCAAGTTGTCTATTTTCATTTCCTGAACATCTTGAATTGCAAAAGACAAAATATTGAAAAATCACAAAACTTAAATGGTATTTTAAAGTGTTCCATTTCAGTCACTTAACATGCTGTCAATTCAAATAAGGATACTGGTTCTTAAAACACACACAGATTAGATTCTCCTTCAGGAAAGTAAAGAAAGCACAGACAATAGGAAACCTCCTTCAAGTCATATTAGCTGCATTCCCACTCATAAAGGACTAGCACAACTGGAAGTAAGATTGAGCTGCATCTCTGCCCTTCATTATAGTAGAGCCAATGAAAGGCAGAGCTTACTGTACATGATAAAGTGTAATTTTGCCTTAACACTGTTTCTTTCACTTCTCTGATATACCGAAAAGATGCAAATGTAGCCCCAGGCAAGCATTTTCCTATTTTTCTCTGTGTCATCAATATATGATGACAAAGCAGCCAGAGCACTGACCCAGCTGCTTAATACATTCTATTGTATTCAAAGGAAATTCAGAGTCTGATTACTTTGGCAAGGGAAATTTTATTGTTCTCAAACTAATGATCATCAGCCAAAAAAGTTATCCCTACTCACTACTTATCTTGGCCACGGACATTGCAGCATTTAACCTCCATCCAGAAAGGCAGGATACGCAGCCTCAACTAAAGCCAATGCCTTTGTTGAGTAACCAGCAGCAAATGACCAGAATACAGGGCTTCCTATTCACTTACTGTAACAAACTCCTTACTCTGTCATGGGAGTTGCATGAACAAGCAGCCTAATATCAGCACACAGAAGTAGGTGTAGTGTGAGACAGTCTATAAAATGCTGGAAGATACAACTAATCCTACAGAGTTAACCTTTCTTTTTTTCCTTAAGCTTTTCAAAGAAGTGGCTAGCAAATGGGACAAGACATGAACTCCTAGGTTTCTTTAAGTTTTGTTCACAAAAAGATCTGCCACTCAGGCTACTCCGTTAAAAGCAAGCATTAGCAGAATTAAAGTAGCATATAATTTACTCAAGTACAATTCACTCTGTAAAGTGTACATGAGTTCAGCTCAAACCTAATGTAATATCCTTTATGAAAAACTGAGAGTCTTATGCAGATGTGAAGAAGTAGTAATGGACCTGGTAAGCCAGGAAAACCAAATACCATAGCAGACATTCAGCTTTTAAATAGCCCATAATTAGCACTAAACACTATCATGAACACACAAAGAGATCAGAGGCAGTAACTGCAGTAAGAGGTGATTGTGACATATATCCACCATGCCTAGGCTTCTTCATTAGGACTGACTTCTTTAGCTGACTACTTTTGTTATTTGTTGTCATGGTTTAACCCCAGCCGGCAACTAAGCCCCACACAGCCGCTCGCTCACTCCCCCCCGGTGGGATGGGGGAGAGGAGAGAATCGGGAGAGTAAAAGTGAGAAAACTCACGGGCTGAGATTAAGACAGTTTAATAGGGAAAGCAAAAGCCGCGCACACAAGCAAAGCAAAACAAGGGATTCATTCACTCCTTCCCATCGGCAGGCAGGTGTTCAGCCATCTCCAGGGAAGCAGGGCTCCATCACGCGTATTGGTTACTTGGGAAGACAAACGCCATCACTCTGAACGTCCCCCCCTTCCTCCTCCTTCGCCCAGCCTTATATGCTGAGCATGATGTCATATGGTATGGAATATCCCTTTGGTCAGTTGGGGTCAGCTGTCCCAGCTGTGTCCCCTCCCAGCTTCTTGTGCACCCCCAGCCTGCTCGCTGGTGGGGTGGGGTGAGGAGCAGAAAAGGCCTTGACTGTGTGTAAGCACTGCTCAGCAGTAAGGAAAACATCCCCGTGTTATCAACACTGTTTCCAGCACAAATCCAAAACATAGCCCCATACCAGCTACTATGAAGAAAATTAACTCTATCCCAGCCAAAACCAGCACATTCGTGTTTGGGAACAAGCTGTCATTCTCAACTGCTGGGCAAAGACCGCCGAGTTATCGTGCTATGGCAAAGTCGCTCTTCTGCCAGTGTGGGAATAGTCTGCACAGAACAGAGAACTGGCAAAGTGAGCAAAAAAAGAAAAAGGAGATACTATCCCTCATTTTGGGTTGCAGAAAGAGTAAGAAACAAGAGCAAATGTTATTTCCTCTGTATTTCAGGCAATATTTTGCTTGTTGATGATCTTGACTTGAGAGAATCTTGTCAGAAACAGAGTCAGGAAGATTGCTTTGAAAACAATGTGGAACTGTCCTTTCTTATGAACATCCAAAGTGTTGGCAAACCTATACAAATATTAGGATAAATGACTACCATGCAGGCCCATCCAAATGTCCGAATTGCCAATCAGCTAACTGCAATCATCGTTTTTTCAGTGCAACTTCAAGTCTTCCTTAAAAAAAAAGTGTTTGAATACAGAATTGGTTAACCACTACCAGGTTCATGCGCAAATGCAGTATGATCTTGGATGCAACTTCAGGGATTATTCGAACACCATTCGATTATTCTAGAACTTACCTCTGAATATAGATGTTGGAAAAATTGTTGTAAGTTCAACAGGAGCATGAAATAATGGAACACAGTCTGTCTGCCACTTACCTTCTTCACAGCTCTTTGGAGAGCCTGTTTCATGCTTCTACATGATTCTGGCATTAACTTCGTTTCTTGATTTTCAAAGGATGTATCATGCAAATCTGTATTTTCTTGATGTCCAAAAAGTGTTCTGACACAGTGTGCGTGTTCTTTTGAAATTCTAGTAGGGTCCATCTGAAACAATATAAGCACAACCACAGTTTTAAGTGTCTGTCCAAGAGACATTAAGAGCATTTAAGTCAGGGAGAATTTTCAACCACCTAAAAGGTTTCGCACCTGGCTAAGTTTATTATCGAAATTTCCATTGTAAACAATTAAGAGAGGAAAAAGTTCCCCACATGGAGGATTATTTCATCCAACAAGCATGAGAGATAGGAGAATGAATTATCTTCTGGAGCTGCCTAGTTCATTAGCTTAGACTGGATATCTGACTTTCAAAAGTTAAAGACAAATCCCACTCTTCCAGTAAAATCAATAATCCTGAATTCCATTTTTTGACCACTCAGTACAATACCACAATTAGTTTAGCAGGCAACATAGACAGCCATCCTACCTGTAAAAACCATAGTTTGCAAGATGACACACAAATGCCAAGTAGAGGAACTTGGGGAAGTATGTACAACATCTAGCACATCATTTTCAAGAAGCAAAACAGAAGAACAGAAACTATTCTGTAGGCAGGAGATATTGCTGCATGAAACAGTCACTAAGAAAGACAGCACACATTCAGAAATACCAAAAGATGATAAAACTGTACCACAAAACATCTCTGCTTCATGGGACAAAGACTGGTAAATCTAGAATATCTGCAAGGTATTTTTAGCAATCAGTCTTTGTGATTGAATCAAATATACTCTTGAACTGTAAGTTTAGAATACTCCTGAATTCTATCAGCTAGATAAATTGGAAGGATATTCCAAGGATTAGGATTGTGCCTTGGCAGAGTTTAATTGCATAAACATTATTTAAACCATTTCACTCTCTCTCCCCACACTCCATATACTTTACATTCAAGAGATATTCACCACTGTCTTTCAGAGATGGCCTAAGACTCTCAGCAATTGTTTTCAACTGGTATTTATTCCACTTTTAGTTCAGGCTTGAAGAAGGGTTTGTGCACTCAAAACCTTGTCTAAGTTCTCTAACCGTATCATCTGGTCTAATAAAGAACATTTACTTCTATCTTTCTGCATAAGGTGGAAGGAACAATTTTATCTGAGAATTACAAAAGGTAATACATTATTTGTAATCACGATGAGGGAATGCCAAGACATTATGGATAGTGCCTGGCCAATGTTCAGTTTCCTTTAATGTAGCACTGAACAAAACAGATCATCAAAAGGAAGCTTTGCAGAATACAAAACAGTCAGAGTGAATCAAATATGTTATATCATTTGTTCATATGAACATAAATTCAACTCCCTCACTCCCAAAAAGCATAAGGTTAGGATTACAGAAGTGTATTTAAGTCTACACCAGCCAGGCAGCCATCCAACAGGCACAAACTGCAGAGAAACCTTTGTTGCACAGATGGCAAAACCAAATGCTGCCTTGTCCATCACCATCCTTCTGCTGAAGTCTCCAGGTGAGAGCTGTTTGCCTGATTCATTCAGACCAACATCAGCCCCTGTGACTTGGTTTAGCTGTTTCAGTTATCCCTGCAGATTTGGAATGAAACAGGTTAGAAAAGGTTCACCTGAAGATCAGAAGATGCCATGGCTTTGAGCAGAGGGGTAGAGATGAGTTACAGAATGCCTTGGAGGCAGTAACATCTTCCTGGGGTGGCCTGACACAACTGAATCCAAAAGAAAATCTGTGTATAGCCATTACAGCTCTATGAATTAAGCACTAAAAACTACACTAATGACTTCTGAAGTCAGCTAGTGCAGTGCAGCCCCATTAACTGTTTAAGCTGATCTAAACCAGCACCTCTGTGCTCTCACCTTCTTCATCACAAAAATTCACTCCTGGTTCTCAATCTCCTCTTCTAAATCAATAACCTGTGAGGAATTTTTGCTGATCTAATTTTCTGAAAGATTAGCACCCTGGAACCAACTCACTTCAGGAATCAGACAAGCATCAGAGCCATTACGGGGACAGGCATAGGAATGGAAGAGCAGGAAGGCAGCACTAGCTTTAATGACTGTAAAACTGCACCCTAAAAGCATCTCTCCCAGTATGTTCCACCAGTATCCAGAACTCAGAAAATCAGCTGTAAACTGAAAGGAAAAAAAATGAAGCGCAAAATGTTTACCAACAGCTGCTAAAAGGCAATTAATACAGAACGACCTGGGTTGGAAGGTACCTCTGGAGGTCTCTAGTCCAGCCCCCTGCTTGAAGCAGGGCCAACTTGTAACTTTGGTCAGGTTGGTCAAGGCCTTGTCTAGACAAGCTTTGTGGAATTTCCATCGATGGAGACTTTCAACCTCTCTGGGCAAACTGTTCTACAATTTAACAACTTTTATTGTGTGTAAAAACACTGGTTTTGATGTCCAGCTACAGTTCTTCTTGCTGCAATTTATGACTGTCTCTTGTTATTGCTGGGCGCTTCTGAAGAGCCTGGCTCCATCTTTAGGTAGCTTCCCTCACCTTAGTCTGTTCTTCTTTAGGTTCAAAGAATCCAGTTCTCCATTTCTGAAACACTATGGTCCCTACCTATCACAGTGGTCTTCTGCTGGACTCTCTCCAGTTTGTTGACTCGCCTCTGGTACTGAGGGACCCAAAACAGGATCCCTTATTCCAGATGTAGCCTCTTATGTTGGTACTGTCAGAGACCTGAGGAAATTAGGGTCTTCAACAGGATCTGGTTGTCTCTTCCCCCCTCCACACACACCACAGGATAGAACACAGAAAGCCACAGCAAATAACTGCCAGTAGATACTCATTTTTATCAGTAATTCTACTAGTGAGAGACTATTACCCCAGTTTTGGATTTAAACACATCTTCTGAAAAGTAGACAAGAAAACTAGGTTTTACAACACAAAGATCATGAAATTTGTAAAGGCCTGAGCGTCCAGCATGACAAATCAGGCGTCACGTAGACTTACAGCTATCACCCATCAGCAATCAGTCAAATGTGTCACACAACACTGTGCTACAACAGTAACACCAGATTGTACAGAAGCACTTACTAGGATTATAGTTTATCTGCTGAAGGCTTAAGACAGAAAACCAACATCCCTGCACCTACAGTTTAAAGATCGAAGGCTTAATGGAAACACTGTAACTGATAGCTTCAGCAACTTAAAGCTGTGCAGCCCATCCTGACAAACTGCAAGTCTCTGGAGATTTAGTGTCTGATAAAGTGAAGCTCTCATCTTGGGACTAGCTAACCTACCTGATTGCCCTTACCTTTTTCAAAGAATACCTAGTCTTCACCACATTTAACCATGGAAATTAGCTTGTTTGGCTGAAAAGGCATTCTCAGAAATCCTGTATCTTATATCTTTATAAAGAACATGTACTGAACTACCATGGCTGTAAACCGATATTACTGAGCACTGAGACTAAAACTGTGGGCAAGAAGTGATGCACAGAAAAACTTTCAAGTTCAAGTGTTTTGAGAAGAACTTCTAAAGAGTCAGATGAAATACCAGAATAGTCTACAGGAATCAGCTTGCTAACTTGCAAGGCACAGAAGGTGAACAGAGACCTTCAGCATGAAGTTCTAAATATTTAATACCTGGAAGAAACATCAAGATGCAACCAAAAATATTGGAGAAAGCTTTATAACACGTTAAGTAAGCTAAATACCCTAGAGGAATTAACCTATTTAAATAGACGAGTGTCTAGCTTATTTTTCCCGTTACTATTGTGCATACATCCATCGTGTCTGACCTTGGAATCAGATCAAATCTTTCAGTGCCCCTTGATTTTCAGCATCTCTAATAATTTAGTTGCATCTCTGGACTCCTTTCACCTACATCAGGGCAGCCAAAATGAACTCCAGCATTGTGGGTGAGACCAGATGAATTTACAGAATTAAGAACCAATTTTCTGATGTTAAAAAGATTCATTTTGATTTTAAAAGATACAATACATTCCAGCCCACTTTACCTATTAAATGTTGCCTCAATTATACAATGTTGCAGTATCATATTCTGTACTTAGTCCTTAGAATAAATGTTTACCATTTATACTTGCACTTATTTTCAAAACTAAACCAACTTCCAGATTATCAAATACCACTTTGCACTCCACAATCTTTCTTAACCACCAAGAAGGGCTTCTTCCAGGCTTCCAAAAAGCAAGCTGTTTCCTAGCATGCTCATGAAACTTCAAATGAAGTCTGAAAGGTGATTGTTTAAAAATATACTTTCATTAAAGTCAGAGTTCCACAGATGCATGAAATGACAATAAAAATCTGTCTTCCAGGTCCCCATTTATCCAAGTGTGAATTCTTCAGTGTGGTAGAATACTTAACATTTCTACAGACTTTTTTTTTAATGGGAAAAATGGATAAGCTTGGAGTTCCAGGTTAAACTATGGGAGTTAGACATCCAGCCCCCACATTTGGATTGTAGCACTTCCAGCTTGTTCCACTACCCTCCAGTTCAGTCAGTGTCCGACCAAATTCCTACTTTTTTATGATGTGAGTACATTAAGTAAATGGGCCAGAAAGAAAAGTTTAAAAGCAAAGCTTTTGGAGACTATACTTTAGCATTTAACAGTGAAAGTTAAATAAAATACTTTGCTCTCTCACCTTGTGCTGTGCATGAGTCTCTATTACATGATGATCTCCAGCTGCTCCAAGTATCTAACTAAATTTTCATGGCATTTTCATTCATCATGAACAAATACTCCTCATGAAGTATAAGCAAAATAAACACTTAAGACCAACACATTTCGTTAGTGTTTAATTTCTTGGATTCAGTACATTGCACAAGACGGTCCAAAAAGAAAAGCCAGAACATCTTAATGTTTTTACATTTCAGAACACTATTATTGGTAAAATTCAATTCTTAGCTTTTTCTTTCTTTTTAGATATACCAGCCCATTGTCTCATTTGCATTGCGCTGCATTATTTCTTGGCCACAAACATGTGTTTACCCGTGAAAATCTAGTATCAGACTTAGTTATGTGTCTTGTGAAATTCCAAATGCTCAAGCCACAAAATAAACAAAACTAAGGAAAAACCAAAACCTCAACTATTGTCTCAGCTCATATTGTGTCAAGATCCAGCCCAAATGATTTTATGCAAATACAGATAAAATGTGTATGGTAAAACTGAGTCAGAGTTTACTCAGCCTCTTAGGTAGACTTTTAAAGAGCTTGTAAAACATGTAATTTCTTAATAACAGCCTATACAGTCAAATCTTGCTAATTCACATTTGGTTAATTCACCAACCAAACAATTCAAATCTTTTGATGCACAGCTTCTACTACCAACTTCTCATTATTTTAACAAAAATACACCATAATACTTCTGTTATTAAAGTACAAATTCAGATAGCTGCAATTTGTACTGAAAAGTACAAATTGAGATAGCTTAATACAACTGAATCTGACAGCAATCTTTTCAAAAGAAAGAGGTCGGATCATGTCCCATATAAATAAAAGAATCTGCAAGACAGTTAAATAAGACTTAACTTCTGCAGGACCGACTATATTTTTCTATCTATCTTATTTCACAGTAAGAAATTGGTGAACAAATATGGATTACCATATCTTATTATTGTGAATTACGTACTTACTTCAAAAGTATACTTATTATTCTATTCTTCAGTGATGGCAAAGAAGATATTTTCTCCTTTAGAAATTTTTCAGGCAATTATTTCAGTCAAGTCTACATCTAGCTACCTCATCTCTTTTAGATGTTTCAGAAGTTCAAGTTTGCAAAGGACTCCATCCAACAGCATTATTCCAAATCTACAGGAACAAGAAACTGGCAAAAGAATTAAGCTGCCAAATGCAGAATTACACCCGGACTATGTAATTTTTTAAATCAAGGAAGCAGAAGAAAAACAGTCATTATGGTAAGAAAGCTCTTTTTACCCTTTGTTAGGCAAGTGTGAAGCACTGACATGAACCTACCAGAAAGAGTCTTTAATAATGGGGGGGGGTAAAGAGAATGGGAAAAAAGGGTTTCCGAAAAGTATACTTTGATTAGTTGTTTTGATTGCAATGGCTCTCTAGCCTACTAATCAATGTATAGCTGTGCATTTCTATGAGCTATGTTTTGACAAAGCTGTCTTTTCAAGTTCATGCAGATCTGCAGAGAAAAACATTTCTCTGCCACAAGCTGAAGTAGGCATTAATTTATTTCACTGTCAAGCAAACAAGTAGCTTTAAGGCACTTTACAATGAGTCCCAGAAATTAAATGTCACTCTTCTGAAGCATACAGGATATGACTAATTAAGTACTGTATTGCTGATCCATTTTATTTTTGTAAAAATGGCAAACACAAAGCCATTGTCTGTAAAAAAATACGAATTGGTCTGCATAATAAATGGTCAGCAGCGTTACTGTCTATTTGATAGCAATTCATCTCTAAGTGGGTATACATTTGTGCAACATCTGGTTTCGGGGTGCATTTTGTCAAGAAATCCGGTCTGCTACATCAAGAGCAAGCACATCTACCTAGAAAGTAAACCGAAAGAAACAGGTTTCCACTCCCTGCTGACTTCAAATGAAAAGTACACACAACAGAAGTACCACTTCCATGAAGGCAGTGAGACCCGTATTAACAGAACTAATTAGCATCCGACAAAAAAGCCAAGCAGAAAGCTAACACCTAGCCCCGAGAAGCAACCAGCCGGCAGCCCCCCACTTCCTCTGAGAGGGCTCAGCCGCGCGGGGTAAGAGACCCAGCAGCAAGTGAATCCAGCCAGCCAGCCGAGCTGTTTCCAAGAAGCGGGCTCCTCTTCTCTCCGAAAGCCTAACCACTCGTCACCTCATCTCCCCCACAGCAATACCTCCCTGTGCTTCTTTCTGCGTGCACCTCTGCCTCTTCTGAAGCATCCCCTGGCAGGCTTGGGGCCTGGCGGGCAAGGGGCGGCTCTCTCTCGGAAATGAGCTCCTGAGCTACAGTGGGCACCTCCGGCCGACGCCCCCTAACGCAAAGACCCCGGTCCGCAGTGCCCCTGCGTAGCTGAAGGACAAACGATCCCAAGTGGTGTTGTGTGGTGGCTTTTTTTTCCACAAAGACATTTCTCCTGCTGGTGAAACATCTATGGCAGCCAGACCTCAGCCACGCCAAACCGCTCTCCAGTGAATAACTGAAAGCTGATCGTTAAAAAACCAAAGCCCTGCAAGTCCTCAGGTAAAGGATCATTAAGCTGCTTCCCGAGTCGGGGACCCCCCACGTTCGATCTCGCTGAGAAACCCTGTACCTCAGTACGCACCATTAGGCCGCAGCGCTACCTAGAACACCTCAGGCTGAGCAGCTCCAGCGACCGGGCGATAGGGCAGGCCGGGCAGGGCCCCGGGAGCCCTCCAGCCTGACCCCCTCTCAAACCTGGGCCAACTTCAGAGCCAGATAAAGTTGTTCTCTGCTCTGTTTTTAACTAATCTCCCCAGTCCCAGCGACGCGAGCACCTTCCCCTCTTCCGAAAGGGGTGGTGGTGCGAGGCGGACGCTCCCG